AGGGTGATTGAGTCGCAGGAGGCGCATTAGTCTCCTGCGAAGTCGCTGAGGTGTGGGTAGAAGGTTCCGTCTCGTGCTCATGCAAAGAATTGGGAAGTTTCTCTTCCTTCGTTGATAGCGCAGGGTCGATCTCAACCAGAGTATCCAACTGAGACTGGTCCACGTCCGACGATATCGCAGTCTCGGCAACCACAGTTTCGTCGTCATGTTGCCTAGATGATTCTGGTGATTCGGACGGGTATTCTTCACCTGTCTCGCTTGGGACCGGTTTTGATCTGGGTGGTTCGAGAGGTTCGTACACATCCTCCTTCGTAGGCTGCGCTTCCTCATCCTCCTTCGTAGGCTGCGCTTCCTCATCCTCGTACAAATCAGGCAGACTGCTCAGGAGAGAATGGATCATTCCCTCTTCCTCATCCTCTGTCAACTTCTTCACTTCCTCCTTCCTGGCTAGCACGACCTAAATAAAGTAGAACAAATCCCAAGAGATTCGATTGGAATCAGAGTTTCACGTAGACATAGAATCATAAACTTACCGCAGCAGCTAGATAGACAACATATACAGGCGGACGAGAGAGAAGGTAATCGAAGATGTGTTGGATGAGGGGAAGAGTAGGGACATCGTGGGAGAAGAGAGTGAGTAGGTTTGAGAGGGCAAAGTAAGGTAAGGGAGTAACGCTGGTGATTATCGTCAGGATTCGGTTCAGTATGAGCCCGGCCGTAACTCACCTTTCCAGGAGAGCAGCGTATTCCGGGTCTGCGAGAGACAACACTCGCTTGAGAACTCTGTATCCATGTTGAGTGATGGAAGTGCGACGATACGAAACGACTATTACCTTAGTAGACCAAGGACGGGCTCGAGACTCGACCCCATTGAGTCGCGTATCCGATGTAAACTCATCTTTTCTGCAGAAGCCATTTGGAGTTCCTCTGGAAGAGTCAGAAAGATTACGGAAATAATATCATGGTATCCCTAGCATGGCAGTAAATATACCAACATGAATAATACGATAAATGGCTATTGCAAAGACTACTTACTTGGAAGTAATTCAGACGTCTCCTCTTGCGAAATACGGATACAATCAAGTCATGTAGCTTGCTCTGAAGCACTTCTCTCTCTTTCAGCCCATCTACGACATAATGCGATGGTAAGAAGCAGGTCGGAAGGACGATGCGGGAGCCGAGTTTCACCTACGGGATACAATACGAAGCTGCGATCTGTGTCTAGGCGGATTTGCCGTTCGTCCGGGTGTTCTTCTGTTGAGGATGTATCTTCAGAGCCTGTTCCCTCCTTACGTTGCTCCAGTCGTACGTTCAGCAATTGTGTCCTATTACCCCCACAAAGTCGTATGACATCAGTCTCGGTTAAGAGCTGCAGGGACATACCAGAGCTTTGTCCTATCCTCACCAAACCCTCCTGGTCGAAGACTTCTTCTACGCAGTTCGTCCCAATCCAAAGACTCCGGTTGTGCCTCTCCATTGTCCCCGATTGTGGCAGAAGCTGTAACAGCACCTTGAGGCTGAGCTTCGGAGGACATCTCACGGTCGTACGCGTATAGTTATGTCGCGGAAGGTGTCCAGCCAAGTCTAATCTCTTGATAAATGGAGTTTAGCCCACTTTAGGACGAGCAGGATGTTGGCATTAGTGGTCGCGAGTGCTTGAGTGAAGGTCACGGTGACGCGCCGGCAGTCAGTGTCATGGTTACCACGTGACCAATCGAAGCCATCGCGTTCAGGTTTTGCGGACGCGTTCTTCGCGAATCCGAACCGACACTCAGTCTCCAGGTGTCATCATCGAATAATCATACAGTAAGCTGCATCTCAACTACTTGAACTTCAAGCTGAATATGCTAACTCTGAATTGACTAGTATAGTTCTCTTGCATAGGGTTCACAAGAATGGCAACGTCGAGTGTACCCACCCCACACCGAACCCCCCTTCGTCGTCTATCCCAGGGCTCCCTCTTCCGTCTTTCTCGCTCAGGCGCATATCCCGACGCCCCGCATGGACTCGGCTTCCTCGAACCTGCTCTTGGCGAACTCCTCGACGAAGTCGAAGCTCTCCAAACCAACATCGCCGGTCTCCGGAACCTCGGAGACGCACTGAGCACTTTCAACGAGAGTTTTGCGAGTTGGTTGTATGTTATGAATATGAACGCCTTGACTACAGATTGGCCGCAGGCCCCGACGGACGCGAGTTTTGTGTTGGCGAAGAGGAGGGCGGAGGAGGATGCGATTGCTGCGATGGAAGCTCTCAAAGCGGCTCAGGCTCCTCCCCCTCCCCCGCCACCTCCCGAACCCCCTATTGACCAAACAACAACAGACACGTCCATTGCTGCTAATACCACTACAACGACTACAGCACCTCCTACAAAGGGCATCTTGAAGAAGAAGGCGGCGAAACCGAAGATGACCGCGAGGGAGAAAAGGGAGCGTGCGCTTGCGATCGACAAGGTCGTTTCGGTGATGCCGCTTGAGTTTAGAGGGAACGACCCTACGCTGCGGCGGCATATGGAGACTGTCATTGAAACATTTTATGAGAAGGAGGGCAGAGGCGTTGGGAGTACGTATTCGGATTGGTGTTCATGCTGCTACCTGAATTCTGCGCTAACTATATGTTAGTTGTCGAATTCATCAAACCCCCAGACCTCAACCAAGCCAGAGTGAACAAATGCCTCATCGCACTTGTGGCTCGCAAAATCGTCCGGAAGGACAACAGCACCGTATGTCTCTCCGAAAAGTTGTTCTATTGCGCCACTTACCTTGTCCTCGTTGTATTGTAGGGAACTGTACTATACCACTGGCAAGGGCTTCCCGAATGAACAGTGTATCGAGCACCACAATCCAATTGTACAACCAAACATACCCTATACCCCACACGCGTCCATACACAACTCTCACTGTATTGTTACAAATATGTACGCGTAATCTTCGTGGTATATGAAGCCAAATGTATTGCTACAGCTTGGACTTCCCCCTACCCTGTTCTTCCCAAACAGACACAACCTGATCCTTGATCAACTTCTCAACCTCATCTTCCCCCATCCCAATCTCCTTCAACACCTCCCTCGTATGCTTACCTGGAGCGAGCGTCGTATTGTCCCATTCCCCGCTTTGTGGACCTGGTGCAGGAGTTCGTGAGAGATGAGGGTGAGGTTGGGCGGATGCTATTATGGTGGTAGAGGCCAATTTTGCTGCTTCGAGTGGAGAGAGGACTGGGAAAGTACATGCGTCTGAGTCTATTCCGATTATTAGCGCACGACTAGACCCCAAGTTGCGTTAGGAGATACGTACCTCGGTAGACGCCTTCCCAATAATCCCTACCACGCAATTTGAACCCTTCCGTGAAGAAGGCTCTCGTATCTTCCCATTTCTCCCTCACAAATTGGTCTTCTAACTTCGGAACACCTCCCTCCCTCTCCTTCCGCTTCATAAAATCCCTCTCGTCCTTCTCCAGAGCACCCAAAAATCTCCCCAAGAAGATCTGATAGAACTTCGGCTCGATACACCCCACGCTCATCCACCGACCATCTGCACACGTATATACGGTGTAGAAAGGTGCACCGTCGTCGAGTGTGTTTCGCATTCTTGTTTGAGGTGTTGGGGTTGCTGGGGAAAAGACTGGTTTCGTGGGTAAATCCGATGGGTGAGGCTTTTGGAAGGAGTTGACGAGGGCGAAGGTCGATATGTACCGAGTTCCGGAAACCTATGGGAATGTCGACCGACTCAGAATGTGATGCCTAGATGTACGGTAAATAAATACTCGCCATGTCGTTATCAACGACCTGTCCCACTCCACTATTCTTCCTCTCGTATAGAGCAAGAAGAATACCTAAGGCACATGACAGTCCGCCAGCCGCAAAATCAGCCAGGAGGTTGAGGGGGAACGTTGGTCGGTCGGGGGTTCCGGGGAGGAGCTGCGCGAGTGAGAATGAGGATTTACAGTTGACAAATAGTCACATAGAATGAGACTGTGAGTTGATATAGCTTAAGGAGGAAAGCCTTACGGAGAGGACACCACTTAGGGCGAGGTAGTTTAGGTCGTGACCTGGTCAGCAAACGAGCAGTGAGAAACACCGATCACCGAACTTGCGGAGTGATAAGGTTTTCACCTGCAAGTTGACTGTGCGATCCTATACTCAACATATTGCTCAATTTACGCTAATTCTGAGGTTTGTGAAGTGAAAATATACCTCCGCGAGGAAACCTACAAGCCCCACCGTATAACCCTCGTAATGACATATTTTGAGTAAAGTACCCACCCTACAAGTCTGGCATACACCAGCTTCTTATTCGAGCCCTCATCACCTAAGAACACTTCAGGCCCAAACCCGAGACGTTCCATGACACCAGGTCTGAAAGGCTCAAGGAGGACGTCTGCGGTATTGATGAGGGACTTGACGTTTGCGTAGCCACTCGGTGTCTATCACCATTCATCATATTTTCAGTCTCTTTAATGAGATAGTACCTCCAAGGAAACTAGGGTGAGTACATCGAGGAGGTGTTTACTTACCTTCGGGTCGATGGCAACACTCCTCTTCCCCCTCGCTAACACGTCCTCCGTAACATTTCCTCCCGCATTAAATGTAGGCCTATCGACCCGAATAACGTCCGCGCCCCAATCTGCTAGAATGAGACCTGCAAAGGGGCCCGGTGCGAGTCCTGCGAACTCTACAACGCGTAGACCAGAGAGAGGGCCCTGTGACATAGAATTTTTACTCATCTCGACCACTTTTTGGGTGATAGTGAGGCCTAAGGTGGGCGTAAGAGAAAGAGGGCATAGAGTCCATGGTGAGAGTTTTGAGGTACTTATAGGCTTAGTATGAGATGGGAATCAATGTAGTTTTAGGCTTTCCGGGTTCAAGATGTTACCGGCGTTCCGGTAAATTGCCCAAATCCGGACAAGATCTGCTGAATATGGAAACTATCAAGCCTTATACGGAACTCAAGGTAGTAGTTGAATTGACGTTTTGGTTTAATGTTTAACGTCTGATATTTCTTTATGCGCCGATGGGGTAGTGGTAACCTGGGTCGTTGCCATGAGTCTATACGCAAGTCTATACGATTCTCGACTGTCGACCCGCCGGGGGTTCAATTCCCCCTCGGCGCACTAAGCCACTTGATTCTCCGTCTTCTTTTTTACTCTTTGATCATCTAGATTTTCAAGAAACATCATGAACTCTCAACTGAAAGCTGCTTCAGATTCCGGATATCAGGGCGCAAGTAAACTTCATGTTCATATCTTTTTTTTATTATCTGAAAATTGCCATCCCTTTCATAATGCTACGGGATCTACTGGGATGACACAGTATTGTGCGTTCTCCGAATGCAAAGCCGTACACCTCGCCACATATTGGTCTCTGTCTGAGCTCAGTGCCCGCTGTGTATCCGCAACTTGTAGCCGGTTCGCAGCAGGCAAATTGAGCAGTTGATCAGGCTTGATCCCTTCTCAGAGATCATTTGGTTCAACTTCCTGAAAATGAGCCCGCTGGTGGCCTCCTTTGGATCTTACCGTGAATAAGGTTATGCCCCAGAGAACGTTTACGGCGAAATTTTGTACTTCAAGGTTGCAACGGCCAGGGGCTCAATCCAGCACCGATGTTTATACACGTTCAGCTTTGCACCGTATCAATACGCGTGCTCACAAAATGCTACAAAAGTGTCAATCACACAATCGAAAAAACCATACAAACCAGAAAGGTGAAAATCAGTCCGTGTGCCTTTGAATGCCCCTGCATCGGCAAATTCCCGACTGCCGAGCTCTTCCCTGAAGGCGATGGCAACGTTGGCAAAGATGAGGGCGGAACAGTGTTGGATGGTGTGGGTGGAGCGCTGGTATTGGAGAGCGGTACTAGCATCTTGAAGAACACAATTGCAGAGTCAGAACCTGGGGCACGTTGGCGATACAAGAAAAATCTCACCAAGGCAAGGTTACCACCCACCACAGGACGAGCTGTAAAGGTCTTGGAGGCGCCAGTAATGGTGTCATAGAAATCAGGGAGTGGCTTATTGCTTTTGCCATTCGAAACATATGAAACGACGGCTCCGATCAAGTTGTCACGCAAGCTGGTTGAGTTGACAATACCAGCGATCCAGATGTTCCAGCCTTATCGATGCGACAACGTCAGCGTAAGTGTAGTACGAATTTAGAGGGAAATTCAACTTACCGGAGAGTGTGAAAGCTTGTCTATCATGGTACTGGCGTGAGTAACCTTGCTTCCCCTTTACATATGAATTATTACGAGGTGACATTACCTGCTATCTAAAGGAAGCCCATATTGCTCTAGTCAACGCACGGGTAAGTTCGAATGGAGGTAGACGTTCAGAATGCTTTAGTATACTTACTGAGCTCACTGGTATACCACGAAGTTTCTGACAATCGCATCAGGGTCAGTGATAGAACGATGTCATACAGGAAAGATGAACACACGCATGTCATAGACCGAGCTTGGGAAGATATTGGTGCCAAGAAGCTTATCGGCGTACAAGTTGTACGTTAGACTCCAGCTGACGGGTTACTGGTCAGTAATTCTCGACGTACTACGACAGCAAAGGGGATTACCTGGTATCTTGTCCATACTACGTTCGATGGCAGTCTATTTGAGATACTGCTGGAATGAACAATGATCCGCGGTACTCACGGACAGCGTGAGATGTTTTGGATCGGAAGCCGTAGCAAGCGGCATAAGCTGGTCGACGTATGTCGAAGCAATCCTCTATGAATAAAAATCGATCAAACATATCAACCAGAGTCGTGAGTTAGTGCGCGAACAATGCCTACGCTGTAGTTCGAGGCTCGAGCATCATCTCCCATAAGAGAGGCGATCTCCGACATGGCCTTTATACCAATGATACCCTTGATTGCGAGGTTCGTCTGATTGGCCAAGCTTCCTGCGAAAGCGTCCGTGCTGACTTGGTCTGCGGGTGACATAGTGTTGGGAATGAGGTAGTTGGCCCACTTGTCCAACAGATCGAACTGTGCGTGAAGTTTGGCCATCAGTGGTTAACATACAGAGGTTGCGCAGAGTGCTACTCACGTATTGCGTGATGAGCGATTTGTCGCGTGAACGTTGAGTGTAACTTAATGCCAGAATCAGCATGTTTCCGGTTTCTGAATTTAGTGTGAGTTCCTGATAGAGTCTGGCATACAGAAATATTTGAACCCATACCTTCCAGGGGCATGGTAAGATTCTCCGCTAATAGGTACGTGGGTCGCCAATGAGATTGTTAACTCACAAACACCGAAATGACTTACTTGCGCTATGACCCAGAGCTAGCGGGTAATGTGGCCCTATAACATGATGGGAAATCGTATAGCAGGCTGCCAAATACCTGACGCGACATACCTGAATCGTGCATCGCCCAAGGATTTGGGTAGCTACCGGAGGCTTGATACTCTAGCAGGGGTTGTAACAGATACTTCCCGAGGGTGGCATTGGAGTATAAGAATAGTGGCCATGCGGCAAAGATGTTGTCTGCGGTATTGACTGCCTATTCACGTGTTAATTATACGCCATAGGTAGTGGGAGACTATCACAACTTACCCCGCTACTTGAAATCTCTGGAGACGCGATTATTAATAAGCAATACCAGGATGAAAGTGGTGACTATCGCAAATACCTTTCATGAAGATCATAACGTCCGAGGTGTTGAAGCCACCAGTCCCAAGAAGAGGGACCGTAATCTCAATGGCACCAAATGCTTGTCTCACGGAAACGTCTACAAGCCCCGCGTAGTCCGGCGAGATCTTAGAGGCATCGTCCTTAATCTTTTGATCGAACGAATTGGCTCTTTGCAATGCACCATTGAAGTCACTATGGAAGTCAGCAATCTGGTGCGTTGAATGAGAGACCGTCTTGCCGCAGAGAAATAGGAGAACATACAAGAGCATCGATGTCAGAGAAGTGACTCAACGCGTAAAGGGCTCGATCTTGTGGTGGTGAACCTGAGCTTGGAGCGTATTGAACTACAGGGTGTCGAAGATGTCCAACGGAAAAGACCACTGGATCACTCTGCGGTGTTCCAATTTCACCCAAGTCATGCGCGAACGCGAACACAGGCCATCGGTCTGAGACAGCTCGGAAGTCAGTATCTTGCGTATTGAGTAAAGTGCCATTGTTGGCGAATTGGGCCCGAACAACTTCATCCTGGCCAGTTTGGTAGGTAACACCATTCGCCTATATATTTAACAGATGATCTCAATCCCAGCTAATGTCAATAAGGAGCTATGTTTACCATCGGAGTTGAATAATATGCAGCACCATCTCAAGGTTCGAGTTAGCATCTGTGAGGACCTGTATAGGTAATGCAGCTCACATTGAGATCGGTCGCCATCTTCTCCGTACGTTACTTGCTGTGCTAGTTGCGCTGTGTGCGTGATGATATTGCCGGTGGATGTCTTCCAGATGACAGGCGAACTGACATTTCCAGTGAGCCATTCCGCGCTGATGTCCGAGTAGACTTGAACTTGGTGTGGTTTGCCATCATTTGAAGAGGCGACAACAGATAAGTAAGAAAAAGGAGTGGATTGTTTTATAAGGTCGTCCGGCTTGAAGACAAGTCGTTGTCGTCACATCGCGACAAGAGGAGACCAGAAACAAACGTACCTCTACCGGACTCAAGAAGGTAACAGTAAGGTTGACTGGACCAGCGATCATAGAGAAAATGCTTTGTGTGGCTGTGATCTGCGTAATGCAGTGGTCAGTGATGTACACGAAACAATCCCTTGTACTAAATCACTTACAAGGACGTTCTTCTGGATTGCCTGGGAGACAGGAACATTGACATCATGACCTAAGAACTTATATGTCGTTCCGTCGACGCGAATGTATCCCAGCCAGCCCAGTATCTACTGTGGTCAGTATCGTATCAGGCATGTCTGCGCTGAACATTCACCTACCGTGCCAGTGAAGAAATGAGGCCAATCCTCGTTGAGAGCAGTTCCTTTACCTTGAGGAAGCCAAGCGGACAGATACGGACTACGCACAGCGAGAGGGATTGCAGCAGGTATGAAAGGAGTGGCTGACCATGATACAGCCGTCGAGGCAAATGTGTAAAAAGAAAGTAGTGTTAAAATGTACAAGTCCCCGCGAAGCATACTGAGCGGGTGTAAGGGGATTTTGTGAGAGGCGGGGATGGGGAGGTGGATAGATAAATATAAGGACCTCAGATCATCACATCTTGTCACATATAGCAGTTCATCTTCCAGGTGAACTTTGAACTTTGCAAAGGGAAGCAGTTGCGCACTGAGTCAACTCACCGATGACAGATGGTGAGCGGGAATGACCACCCATCATTTATGTACATCAGTACATGAACAGAAACCATCTATCAAGCAATCAAAATAGTCAGTGCGTGAGAGTACTGAGTTTTGTGAAATAGGATATCGGGGAGCCACAGGTTGAAACAAGCGTTTGCATTGCTGCCAAAGCTATGCCAACAAAGGTTCGAGTTCTAGTGAAACGCGGAAAGCATTTCTGTGTACATAGTCTATGTAAAAATCGACGTCAAACCGTCTATGAAACCATACCACTCGTTGCTGTGACAACCACGGAATAAATACATACCGATGGCGCATAGACACGATAGGCTACGTGGAAAGGACATCCCTTGGGAATGCCAGCTCATATATATAGAATCAGTAGGGAAGAATGCGGTCTCGGACGAGCTTGAGAAGTACTGTAGATTGCAACGGCGTCTTCAAGCTTCAAGCTTCAGGCGCCATCCGACCTCGAACTTGATTGATATCACGGACCTGAGTCGGTCCTCGATGATCCTTGCTCGGAGCCTCCAGTTGCTTATCTTCATTCTTGCACAAGACACTACTACTGTGCGCTTTCTGCTGCCAGTGCTCGAATCAGTATCTTGACGCACCTGTGTCTGACATCTCTTAGGGCAATCTTAGGGCGAAAGAGACTTCAAGAGAAGAGCTGAGGAAGGTCCCACGCCAAGGCCGAGATTTGTCTGATGATCCGACATGGTTACTTACGCGGGCACGTGATCATCAGTGTCCAAGTTGCATGAATTACTGTACGCGATACACGGACTCCGTTTCTTCAATTCGAAGCATCATCGTATAATGGTTACAAACACACCTAGAGGACATATTTT